TGGACCTGAACTATAGCTGTCGCACACATTTCCTGGAATTTTTTGGTAATGTTGATGTAGAGTCGGCCGATATTCAGCAGGTCCATAAAGTGGTGTATGTATAAAATGTTTATATTAGATTTTCAACATTTTGAAATTATTAACCAATCGATATGAATTTTTTTCTAGGGCTGGTGTACCCTTGACCCAAAGAACTCCAGAAGGTTATGCTGTGGTAATGACAAAACTTCTTGATATGGATGCGTCTAAATTTCATTTTGGAAATACGGTGATGTTGTAAGTAAAAGAAACCTACATAGTCTATAAGGAGCTTCCAGGCTCTCAAGTCAAGCTGCAAGAGACCCCTAATTATCCGCTCGTATATAGAATCAACGACTTAACTTTTAAAGTAGCTGTACCATGTCCCACCCTTATAAAGTTGAACAACCTTCACCTCCGTTATAAAGATTTTATCCTCTTTATCTACTGTGATTTCCAGTCTTCAGATTTTCCTATACAAAAAAATTCCTTCAGGTTACCAATAAAGACTACCCATAAGTTGTCCGCAAAGATAAACTGCCTTTAGCTCTGATATAAAGACTATCGGCCTGCACTTTGGTTGTAAAGGCTTCTTTCCCTTCGCCTATATAGACTCCCTACAACACTGCTACATATAAGATCTCTGGGCTGAGAGTGGCCTTTTATGGGGGGAAGAGAGAGGTTGGGGGGTAGAGAGAGGTCTACACGAGATACTCACTGAGTGTTGAGTCTATCGTCTAGACCTCTCTCTACCCCCCAACGTCTATCTTCCCCCCATAAAAGGCCACTCTCAGCCCTTTTTAACGTTCCCAAAGAAATGTAATATTTTTTTTAATACCAAAAATATCCACTATATATTTCTCTCCAGATACAGCATCAGCCAGGATAAATGGCTTTTGGAAAATGGTGTTGTTAAGGGTGTAATAATTGCTATGGACATGACAGGTGGTGTTTTTGGCCATCTGCCACGAGTTAATCTAATTCATTTGAAAAAGGCAATGTATTTTTTGCAGGTAAAAAAAAATTACAAAACCAATAACAGCAACAAAATTCTCAATAAAAAAAAATTCCCTTTTTAGGAGGCAATACCCGTCCGCCTCGTCGGATTACATTTCATTAATGTCAATTCTATAATCGATAAGGTGATGTCGCTAATACAACCATTTCTCAAGAAAGAATTACTCGATATGTTAGACATTCACACCAGTTTAGAGACATTCTATAAATTTGTACCACGTGAAATTTTACCCAAAGATTATGGTGGTCCAGGGTTGGATATGCGGCAGCTGAGTGGTAAATTATTTTTTTGAAAAAAAAATATATTTTCAATCATAATTTCAATTCCTTTGCAGAAAAATACTTTGAAAGTTTGCGCCAATCCCGTTTCGACATCATCGAATACAATGCCAATCACCGGGTCAATGAAAAGCTGCGTCCCGCCAAGGCGAAACATAGCTCTGAACTATTCGGTACTGAGGGTAATTTTAAGAAATTGGATATTGACTAGGGTCGAATTTAGAGGGGTTGGATTAATTGTGGCGCTTTTTGAATTAAAAAAAAAATAAAGTATAAGTAGCAAGGAAGTGGAAAGTTATTTTATGGAAGGGAAGTCCTACTGAATAATACTTTTCCGAAATATTATATATGAAACCAGTGAGCGGAGCAGTATAGTCGGGCGGGGCCGACCTACACAACTACCACGAAAAGCAAACTTTCTGCGGTTCTATATTCTGAGCCTGGGCAATATTTCGTGATATTTGCACTTATTTATATTTGGTCACTTTAGGTTTTTGTTAATTTGACCCTCGGAATATTGACCGATCATCATCTAAACATCCGATCTAAGTGTCTGGTCAGATCCCCTTCACTTTGTAAAATATGCTATAATAATTGCCTCTATGCTATAATAATTGCTTCTAGAACGACTAGAAAATCTGACAAAATTAAAGTTTTCTGTTCATTGCACCCCCATGAATGAAATCTCAACTTCGCCGAAAACTATAGGTCGTCGTCCTTGACTACAATCGGAACTTCATGTACAATTTCAAAGTGATCAGCGCGACTTTTCCGTCCTCTAATGGAGCAATAGTAATACTAGACACATAGTCACCTTTACCTAATTACGGATAACTCCCACATCAGAGTACATACAGCCATATAATTGATATTAATTTGAAGGTCAACAACTCCTCTTGGATATACTATCAACTTCTCGGGTATATGTCCTTCAGGAGCAAGTATATATGCCCCAGAATAAAGATTTTGTAATTTTTCACACAAAAGTCCGGGTTCATTTGACCCACTAAATATTGACCTGTCTTTATCAAAACAGGCATGCTTATTCTTTGGTCCGATCCCCTTCTCCATACAAAAATTCGGGGTGATTGGACAATAATTGCGGCCTCTGGAGCGACCAGAAAAACCGACAAAAATAAAGTTTTTAGTCCATTTCATCCCCTAAATATTAATCGATTTTTTCCGAAAACAATAGGGGTCTTCATTGGCCGGAACCCATCCTACATGCAAAATTTCGTGAAGATTGGTCCATAACTGTAGTCTGTATCGTGTTTACAACTCACTCAGCTAGTCGAGATATGACGATCGGTATACTTAAAGGTGGGTCTAGGACCAATATTTCGCGGCGTTATAAACTTTTGGGGCTGCACAAAGCTATAATACCCTGACAACATAGTTGTGTAGGGTATAAAAACATCATAGTGTCTATAAAGAGACCCTAGCTTCGCTCTACCGCGCAAATACTCTCAGGTCCTTTAGCTAGTCTATAAAAAATCCCTTCAGTTATCTACAAAGACTCCCAGGCCTTCAGCTCATCTATAAATATTCTCTGAGATTCACTCGTCTATAAAGACCCCCTTCAGCTCGTTTATAAATACTTATTTCAGCCCTTCTATAGAGACTCCCAGCCGTCATCTGTTTTATAAAAACTCCCAGACCTTCAGCGGGTCTATAAGGACTCCATGAGCATCAGCTTTTCTAGAAAGGATCCCTGACCTTCATGCAGGTGTAGAAAAGCCCCCGATATTCAGCGCGACAATAAGGAATCTCTAATTTTTAGCTGGTCCATAACGACTTACTAAGCTTCTGCTCGTCTATAAAGATTCCCTGACCTTCGTCTATGAAAGACGCCCTTCAGCTTGTCTGTGAAAGACGCCCTTCAGCTTGTCTGTGAAAGACGCCCTTCAGCTCGAATATGATAGACTCCCCTCAGCTCGTCTATGATAGACTCCCCTCAGCTCGTCTATGATAGACTCCCCTCAGCTCGTCTATGATAGACTCCCCTCAGCTCGTCTATGATAGACTCCCCTCAGCTCGTCTATGATAGACTCCCCTCAGCTCGTCTATGATAGACTCCCCTCAGCTCGTCTATGATAGACTCCCCTCAGCTCGTCTATGAAAGACGCCCCTTCAGCTGGTCTATGAAAGACGCCCCTTCAGCTCGTCTATGAAAGACGTCCCTTCAGCTCGTCTATGAAAGACGCCCCTTCAGCTCGTCTATGAAAGACGCTCTTCAGTTCGTCTATGAAAGACTCCCTTCAGCTCGTCTATGAAAGACTCCCTTCAGCTCGTCTATGAATGACTCCCTTCAGCTCGTCTATGAAAGACTCCCTTCAGCTCGTCTATGAAAGACTCCCTTCAGCTCGTCTATGAAAGACTCCCTTCAGCTCGTCTATGAAAGACTCCCTTCAGCTCGTCAATGAAAGACTCCCTTCAGCTCGTCAATGAAAGACTCCCTTCAGCTCGTCAATGAAAGACTCCCTTCGGCTCGTCAATGAAAGACTGCCTTCAGCTCGTCTATGGAAAGACTCCCTTCAGCTCGTCTATAAAAGACTCCCTTCAGCTCGTCTATAAAAGACTCCCTTCAGCTCGTCTATAAAAGACTCCCTTCAGCTCGTTTGTGAAAGACGGCCTTCAGCTCGTCCATGAATGACGCCCTTTCAGCTCGTCTATGAAAGACGCCCTTTCAGCTCGTCTATGAAGGACGCCCTTTCAGCTCGTCTATGAAAAACTCCATTCATCTCCCCTTAGCTCGTCTATAAAAGACTCTCTTCAGCTGGTCTATGGAAAGACTCCCTTCAGCTCGTCTATGAAAGACTCCCTTGAGCTCGTCTATGAAAGACTCCCCTCAGTTGCTGTATAGAGTCATCAGACTTCTTTCAGCTCATCCACGCAAGACTCCCTTCAGCACGTCTATAATTACTGCATTGACTTCAGCTCCCCATAAAGACTTTCTGACCTTCTGCAGGCTAACTTCCTGGCTTTTATCAGGTCCAAAGAGCTCCCAGACCTTCAGCTCATCTATAAAAGCTTCCTGATTTTCATCTCATCGATTGAGACTCCGTGATAAAAAATTCCCTAACCCTTCATGTGATTTATTCAGCTCGTCACCATGGACTGCCCGCTTGCAGTTCATCTCTACATGACTCTCGTGTTCCTAATGCTAACAATTATATTTGACTGCTTAACGTAAAGACTAGATTGGAATGTCAAAAGTGTGTTAATAATTACTAACATCGAAACCGGTTGCCATCGATATTCATTCAACATCTAATCTTAGATTGTTGTCGATGCAGTGTTAGTGGTGAGTAAGTCGATAAATTTGGAAATTGAAATATAATATTGAGATATAAATCCCATTGTATTGGAAGCTTAATCTGAAGAATAATATGGAAATACCGTAACTTCTCTGGTTCAGGAGACGGGCTTTTTTTCAATCGTCAAATAATTTTGAACAATTATTTTAAGCAGATTTTCCATCAGATCAAAAATACCATAAGTCTACATTAATGAACTTAGTCTCTTTTCCCAAACCAACCGTTCTTCATTGAACAATTCCGAATTGCATTCAATTATTTTTTGCACAACTGTATTCGAATTTCAAGATCATTGTTTTTTTTTCGTTTTCTCATTTAATATTTCAAAGTCAGCTGGTACAGTCGGGTGTATTTCAAATCACTTCTCAAATGTTTCAATTATTCGATTTGGATGAACAATATCGCCTTTATCCACAAATTAAACGTGAAGAGGTAGAAAAACTTTTAGAATGGGCTTTGATGCAACCACATCTACCGAAAATTACCGAACATGAAGCGCTGTTATTTTTCTATGCCTGCAATTGTAGCATGGAATATGCCAAACATGTTTTGGACCTAAACTGTACGTGTCGAACACATTTTCATGAGTTTTTCGGTAATGTAGATGTCGAGTCGCCGGAAATTCAGCAGATTCATAAAGTTGTGTAAGTAGGACCATTTGGAAAAATTTAAATTTATAAAAAATAATAAATAAAATAAATTTTATTTTAAATTTCCAGAGCTGGTGTACCCTTGCCCCAGAGAACTCCAGAAGGTTATGCTGTAATAATGGTAAAGCTTTTGGATACCGATCCGGCTAAATTTCATTATGGAAATTCGGTGAAGTTGTAAGTAATGATAAATGGGAGAAGGCATGTCGGGAAGGGAGTCTCTATAAACGAAGTGCAAAGGATCTCTATAGACGAGCTGAAGGGAATCTCTGTAGAGGAAGTGCAGGGAATCTCTATAGACGAAGTGCAGGGAATCTCTATATACGAGCTGAAGGGAGTGGCTATAGAGGAGCTGAAGGGAGTCTCTATAGATGAGCTCCATAGAGAGACTCCCCACAGCTCGACTATAGAGACTCTCTACAGCTCGTCTATAGAGACTCCCTACAGCTCGTCTATAGAGACTCTCTACAGCTCGTCTATAGAGACTCTCTACAGCTCGTCTATAGAGACTCCCTACAGCTCGTCTATAGAGACTCCCTACAGCTCGTCTATAGAGACTCTCTACAGCTCGTCTATAGAGACTCCCTACAGCTCGTCTATAGAGACTCCCTACAGCTCGTCTATAGAGACTCCCTACAGCTCGTCTATAGAGACTCCCTACAGCTCGTCTATAGAGACTCCCTACAGCTCGTCTATAGAGACTCCCTACAGCTCGTCTATAGAGACTCCCTACAGCTCGTCTATAGAGACTCCCTACAGCTCGTCTATAGAGACTCCCTACAGCTCGTCTATAGAGACTCCCTACAGCTCGTCTATAGAGACTCCCTACAGCTCGTCTATAGAGACTCCCTACAGCTCGTCTATAGAGACTCCCTTCAGCTCGCCTATAGAGACTCCCTACAGCTCGTCTATAGAGACTCCCTACAGCTCGTCTATAGAGACTCCCTACAGCTCGTCTATAGAGAAACCCTTCAGCTCGTCTATAGAGACTCCCTTCAGCTCGTCTATAGAGAAACCCTTCAGCTCGTCTATAGAGACTCCCTACAGCTCGTCTATAAAGACTCCCTACAGCTCGTCTATAGAGATTCCCTACAGCTCCGAATATTTCTCGTACATTGGCCAACTCTCATGTTGTCCATCTCCCCTTTCTATTTCATTCCAGGTACAGCATAAGTCAGGATAAATGGTTTTTGGAAAATGGTGTTATCAAAGGTTTAATAATTGCCATCGATATGACCGATGCAGCGTTTGGTCATTTGACGCGCATTAATCTAATTCATCTGAAAAAGGCAATGTATTTTCTACAGGTAAGTGCAAACATCACCAATGTCTTCCAGAGCAATTGCAATAACATTTTTAAAATTTCAGGAAGCCATACCCACTCGCCTAATGGGTTTACATTTCCTTAATGCCAATTCGGTAATCGATAAGCTGATGTCGCTAATGCAACCATTTCTCAAGAAGGAATTACTCGAAATGTTGCACATACACACCAGTATGGAGACATTCTATAAATTTGTACCACGTGAAATTTTACCCCGAGATTTTGGTGGTCCCGGTTTGGATATGCGGCAATTGAATGGTACAATTGTTCGAAATTTCTATCTTTTGAATTCGATTAATATTTTCTACATATCTTGCAGAAAACTTCTTTGAGAGTTTACGTCAATCACGTTTCGACATCATCGAATACAATGCCAATCATAAGGTCAATGAAAAACTGCGTCCAGCCAAGGCAAAACATAGCTCAGACCTATTCGGTACTGAGGGTAATTTTAAGAAATTGGATATTGACTAAGGCGACAATGCAGAACCGAATTTTTATTATATTAGTTTTTAAGTATTAGCGAAAATAAAATAGACGTGGAATGGAATGGAAGGTAGTATTTTCTTCGGGAATATATCTGAGAAACCGGTTTCAAAACCTTATATGCATTTCATTAGAAAGCTAGAAAACAGACGTGCTAAATTTATTGAACGGGACTATTATCGGTTTTATTATCTGAATAACCGGTTCATAAATTTTGAAAAGCGTTTTTTTTTTGCAAACTTCTGCATAACCGGTTCATAAATTTTGAAACTCGGTTCTTTTTTCCAAATTTCTGCATAAACCCTATTTTATGGTACACTCTATTATTCGGTATTTTCAACAGAATTGAATTGACAATAATTTGGCGTCTTGTATTCGGATTGGGTAGAAAATCTCCCTACGGAGAATTATCAATAATGTTGATCCACTTTTTAGGGTACCTCAAAAAAATTTGGTTATTTTGGGGAGTTTAGATAAGTTTTTCATTAAAATTGGATGTAATTCCGTGTTTAATATTTTCATTAAATAAAAAAAAAATACCTACCAAAATTATCGGTATTCATCGAAGCTTTGGGGTAGCCTCTATATAATGGTACCACCCAAATTTCGGTATTTCCTTGTTATGTTGAATTTGTTCGAATTATTTTCAACAAACAAACATACGTCAAAATATAATAATTTTCGAGGAAAAAAGAACCGGTTTTCTAAATTTTTGAACCGGTTATTCAGATAATAAAACCGGTTTCAAAACCTAATATGTATATCATTAGAAAGCTAGTAAACAGACGTGCTAAATTTATTGACGATTATTGACTATACCGGACTATTGTCGGTTTTATTTCAGCTCAGGTCTTCCTGTTTTCAGATCGTCTTTAACTGAATCCCTTCTGCCTAATGCTAATAATTATATTTGTCTGCTTACAAAATAATTACTAACATCGAAATTGGTTACCAACGATATTCATTCAACATATAATACCCGATTCAAAAATTTAAAAACCCGGTTTTTTTCCTCGAAATTATTTTTTTTGGCGTTTGTTGATAGTTCCTCCAGCTGGTCTATTATAGACGCATATAGGTTTCCTCTCTACAGACACCCTGATCCGATTAAGAAAGACTCCCCTCAGCTCTTCCTTCAACTCGTCATCTATGTAGACTTCCTTCAGTTCATTCCCCTTTCTGCACATCTATGATGACTTCTTCCGGCTCGCCTCTAAGGCCCAATTTTTTAAAAGACGTCTCTTTTATAGCTCAGTGATTCTATGAGTACTGCCTTCATTTCGCCTATGAAGATTCTCTGTCATTAATGTCGTCTATAAAAACTCACTAATCTTCAGCCGCTCTATAAAGACTTCTTTCGCAGACTCATCCCTTTCAGATCTTCCATAGGGACTACCTAGCATTCACATCATCTAAAAAAACTCCCTGACTTCCTGCTCGTTGTTGTCGTCTATGAATGACTCCCATCAGCTCGTCTATGAAAGACTCCCTTCAGCTCGTCTATGAATACTCCCATCAGCTCGTCTATGAAAGACTCCCTTCAAGTCGTCTATGAAAGACTCCCATCAGCTCGTCTATGAAAGACTCCCATCAGCCCGTCTATGAAAGACTCCCATCAGCTCGTCTATGAAAGACTCCCTTCAGGTCGTCTATGAAAGACTCCCTTCAGGTCGTCTATGAAAGACTCCCTTCAGGTCGTCTATGAAAGACTCCCTTTCAGCTCGTCTATGAAAGACTCCCTTTCAGCTCGTCTATGAAAGACTCCCTTTCAGCTCGTCTATGAAAGACTCCCTTTCAGCTCGCCTATGAAAGACTCCCTTTCAGCTCGTCTATGAAAGACTCCCTTTCAGCTCGTCTATGAAAGACTCCCTTTCAGCTCGTCTATGAAAGACTCCCTTTCAGCTCGTCTATGAAAGACTCCCTTTCAGCTCGTCTATGAAAGACTCCCTTCAGCTCGTCTATGAAAGACTACCTTCAGCTCGTCTATGAAAGACTCCCTTCAGCTCGTCTATGAAAGACTCCCATCAGCTCGTCTATGAAAGACTCCCATCAACTCGTCTTTGAAAACCTCCCTTCAGCTCGTCTATGAAAGACTCCCATCAGCTCGTCTATGAAAGACTCCCATCAGCCCGTCTATGAAAGACTCCCTTCAGCTCGTCTATGAAAGACTCCCTTCAGCTCGTCTATGAAAGACTCCCTACAGCTCGTCTATGAAAGACTCCCTTCAGCTCGTGTATGAAAGACTCCCTTCAGCTCGTCTATGAAAGACTCCCTTCAGCTCGTCTATGAAAGACTCCCTTCAGCTCGTCTATGAAAGACTCCCTTCAGCTGATCTACGGAAGACTTCCTATAAAGACTTGTCTATAAAAAAAAAATCGTTTTGCTTGTCTATAAAAAAATTCCCTTCAACTTGTATTTAAAGACTTTCTTGACCTCGTCTAGTAACACTTCCATCAGATCGTCTCTGAAAGACTCCTTCATCCCGTCGTTATACTCCCTGATTTTCAGCTCACCTATAAAGACTTCCTGATCATCCGTTGATCTATGTATAAATAAACTCAGCTGTTCGTAATGGTCTTCCCGCTTGCCATTCGTCATTGTCTGGCTCTGTTCTGACGATTGTTAATAAACAATCCAGATTGAAATTCAAAAGTGTGTCTATAATTACTAACTCAAATTATGTCTATGTAGGGGTGTAATAGTGATTAAGTCGCAAATTTCAAAATTAGTAATAATCTTGGAATCTCATTGCTTAACCGGGAGATAAGTATGGAAATTTCAAAATAACTCTTCCAAAAAAATGTATTTATTTTTTATACCCTTCACCACACTGTGGTACAGGGTATTATGTCTTTGTGCATATGTTTGTAACAGGCAAAAATAATCGAGATAGACCCATGGTTCCTTTTGAGAATATGCATAGAATCACTTTCTAAGTCGATTTATGCATGTCCGTCCGTCTGTCCATGATAAATTGTAAACAAAGTACAGGTCGCATTTATGATCCGAATTGGATGAAATTTGGCATAGATCACTTATTCGGCCCAAGGATGAACCCTATTGAAATTGGGAAAAATCGGTTCAGATTTAGATATAGCTCCCATATATATATTTAACCGATTTGATGTAAACGGTCCCTACATATCTTTCGATTTGCACGAAATTTGGTGCAGCCTAATCATTTAGGTCTAAAATGATGTCTGCCAAGTTTCGTAAAAATCGGTCCAGATTTAGATATAGCGCCCATATATAGTTTCGTCCGATTTCATGTAAATAATGCACCAAAGTCCCTATATATCTTTCGATTTGCACGAAATTTGGCATAACGTACTGAATTGAACCTAGAATGATGTCTGCCAACTTTCGAGAAAATCGGTCCAGATTTAGATATAGCTCCCATATATAGTTTCGTCCGATTTCATGTAAATGGTGCACCAAAGTCCCTATATATCTTTCGATTTGCACGAAATTTGGCATAACGTACTGAATTTAACCTAGAATGATGTCTGCCAACTTTCGAGAAAATCGGTCCAAATTTAGATATAGCTCCCATATATAGTTTCGTCCGATTTCATGTAAATGGTGCCCCAAAGTCCCTATATATCTTTCGATTTGCACGAAATTTGGCATAACGTACTGAATTGAACCTCGAATGATGTCTGCCAAGTTTCATATAGTTGCGTTTTTTAGAAGTACAGACATAGGCCAACGGATGACCTATTTATATTTGTTTGAAGTCGATTTACATACATGACATTTTTATGGATAGATCTAGGTAGATTCACATTTAGATAAATATCACATATTTTATTTCATCCAATTTCATGCTAATGGTCCTGTTTAATATACCCATAGTGGTGAAGGGTATCATATAGTCGGCCCCGTCCGACTTTACTACTTTCCTTACTGGTTTCAATTATCAACTTAGTCTCTATTCCCCTGCCGACCACTCCTCATTGCAATTTGCATTTAAATAACTTTTTTTCATTCATATAACTACTTAGCTAAATTTCAAGATCATTATTAACTCAGCAGAATTTCCAAGTTCCCATTTAATATTTCAAAGTCAGTTGGTACGGTCAAATAACTTTCTCAAAAATGTTTCAATACTTCGATTTGGACGAACAATATCGCCTTTATCCACAAATTAAACGTGAAGAGGTCCAGAAACTATTACAATGGGCATTGATGCAACCACATCTACCGAATATTACCGAACATGAAGCGTTGTTATTTTTCTATGCCTGCAATTGTAGCATGGAATATGCCAAACATGTTTTGGACCTAAACTGTACCTGTCGAACACATTTTCATGAATTTTTTGATAATGTTGATGTCGAGTCGCCGGAAATTCAGCAGATCCATAAACTTGTGTATTTTTTTAAAATTAGTATACAATATTGATTTGAAGATTTGAAACAATTTCTCATTTAAAATTACAGAGCTGGTGTACCCTTGGCCCAGAAAACTCCTGAGGGTTATGCTGTTATAATGGCAAAACTTTTGGATATCGATCCGGCTAAATATCATTTTGGAAACTGTGTGAAATTGTAAGTATTGCTAGATGGAAGAGGGTGAAGGCAAGGGCAGAAGGTCTTTATAGTCCGGCAGAGGGGAGTAGTTATACACGAGCTGAAAAGAGATTTTATGGAAGAGCTGAGAAGAGGTTTTACAGGCAAGACTTAGTCATTGTTTTCATGACGCTCTGAAGGTAGTCTTTATATACTGAGCTGAATGAAGTATTTCCACACGGGACGAGAGGGGACTTATAGGCGAGCTGAAGGTCGTCTATAAAAACGTTAAAGTCGAGCTGAAGAAAGTCTTTGTATTACAAGCTGTAGGGTGGGGCTGAAAGAAGTATTTACACAGGAGATGAAGGGCGAGTTATAGACTAGCTTATGGAAGGATTTGTAGAACAGGTGAAGCCAGTCTTTAAAGACGAGATGAAGGGGGTCTTTGGTCTAAAAATAATTTCTACAACACTCAGA